GTGATTGGGCAACAAAATGGCAAATGAAATTTAATGTAGATAAATGTAAAGTAATGCACATTGGAAAAAATAACCCCAACTATACATACAATATGATGGGGGCTAATTTAGCTACAACCAATCAGGAAAGAGATCTTGGAGTCATCGTGGATAGTTCTCTGAAAACGTCCACGCAGTGTGCAGCGGCAGTCAAAAAAGCAAACAGGATGTTAGGAATCATTCAAAAAGGGATAGAGAATAAGATGGAGAATATCTTATTGCCCTTATATAAATCCATGGTACGCCCACATCTTGAATACTGCGTACAGATGTGGTGGTCTCATCTCAAAAAAGATATACCGGCATTAGAAAAGGTTCAGAGAAGGGCAACTAAAATGATTAGGGGTTTGGAACAGGTCCCATATGAGGAGAGATTAAGGAGCCTAGGACTTTTCAGCTTGGAAAAGAGGAGACTAAGGGGGAATATGATAAAGGTATATAAAATCATGAGTGGTGTGGAGAAAGTGAATAAGGAAAAGTTATTTACTTGTTCCCATAATATAAGAACTAGGGGCCACCAAATGAAATTAATGGGCAGCAGGTTTAAAACAAATAAAAGGACATTCCTCTTCACACAGCTCACAGTCAACCTGTGGAACTCCTTGCCTGAGGAGGTTGTGAAGGCTAGGACTATAACAGGGTTTAAAAGAGAACTAGATAAATTCATGGAGGTTAAGTCCATTAATGGCTGTTAGCCAGGATGGGTAAGGAATGGTGTCCCTAGCCTCTGTTTGTCAGAGGCTGGAGATGGATGGCAGGAGAGAGATCACTTGATCATTACCTGTTAGGTTCACTCCCTCTGGGGCACCTGGCATTGGCCACTGTCGGCAGACAGGATACTGGGCTGGATGGGCCTTTGGTCTGACCCAGTATGGCCGTTCTTATGTACACACACAGACACAGAATTCTGTCTTCCTCTCCCTCCTGGGTGTAAAGCAGCATAGCTGGTTATCAGCTGACTGCTAGGAGGAGAGCCCAGCTTCGACACTGATGTCTGCAGTACATATGAGTCAGGGTGCGTATCATCCTGTTACAAAGGATCAGTAAAGTGCACCTAGATTCATTCATTTGTGCCACTAGACAACTCTTGAACCTGATATGCTGGATGGCACCATCTCCTTGCAGTTGCTTGAAGAATTTCACTCAAATATGTTTCTGGTTGTCTCCAGTTCCAAAAAGTAATAATGACAAAGACCAAAACTATACTTGGCATGGACAACCCAGATTTAAAATATCTCTCTGATGAGGAAAGTGGCTGTAAAAATGATCCCTTCTTATTCAAGAGATCTGCCTTACGTGTGTTCAGAATCAGATCTGCTCCTTTTAATGACATAAACAAGTTCTTACTGCCATTTAGTCCTGCAGAACCAATACCACATGAGGACAGCAAGTGGGATTATTTCTTGCCGCACACATCATCAACAAACCAGTTTGCTGGGGATGATATAAGAGGCAGAAAGAAACAAAGATTTGCAGATCCCAGTGCAGGTTTGCAGCACTGGCAATCTCAAAAATCAGCTTTTGACTACAAAATTTAGCCCATTTGACCATGTATCACTGAGAGAGAATAACTCCAGATCTGGACAGCAGGTGCTGAATCCCTGCACAGAAATGCAGAGCTGTTTTGCTGACTGACCATGGCATCTAGATCATGTGAGTCCTATTATCTCCAAACAGGGAGTAGAAAAGGAATCTGAGAGTGTCTGAGGCAAAAGGAACTAGAGTTAGGGACAGAGAAAGAGGGGTCCTGCAAGAAACAACCCCTGGAAACAGCCAAGTTCAGGTCCAAGAACTGGCAGGAAGCTTATGTTTGCTGTTATTTAAGTTAACAAGAAAGGAAACCACAAGAAAGTAGATAAATCTAGATTAGTTTGCTTGTGTGTACTGTGTTAGGAGCAGAGTAGGAACACCACATGCTTATGTGAAATTTAAATAATAGGCTTTGACGGATCATTTCTGATCAATGGTGCTGATTAATGAACAGCTCAAGTAAGGTAGCAAACAAATAAAGAAGGGTGAAGACACGAATTACCGAAGGGGAAAGAGGAGGATTAGAGCATCAGGATGTGGAGTTATGGTAAGGGAGGCCATTAATCATCAGCACTATTATAAAGGACCACATTTTGTGCTGACTTTATGCCCCTTGCAACTCTACTGAAGCCAACACAGAAATTGACCTAAAGTGCACCTCTTAAATCACAATCTGAAGTACCTCACTGCTATCATAAATGAACCTTTTTTAATACAAATAATGAAATGATTAATATGTCTTCCTCCCTCTAAAATACTAACTAAGACTTGGGTGGGTTGGAATACATGTAAATATTGTATTTTAAATAAAATCATCTGTGTCATGTATCCCACTATAGTATGTTTTTAATATTAAATGAAAACAGCCAAGCTGTTCAGGCCATACAAGAAGCTCTGAAGAAAGAAACAATGAAGCTGGCTACGTGTTCTGGGACTTACAATGTTCTTCATGCTCTTCACCCAGAGTGGGTTTTTCAAAAGTACCTAAGGGAGTAAGGCTCCTAAATCCAGTTGACTTTCAATGGGAGTTCAATACCTGATTCCCATGTGTGATTGTGAACAGCCCATCCCCAACATCCTTTCTTCCTGCCACACTTGGTTATGAACCACAGAGTGAGTGTTGGCACACCAATAGAACCAAGGATCTGTTAGTTTAGAGTCCCAAACACCAGAGGCACAACAAATGGCACAGAAAGAAAGAGGTTTCAGAGTAGCAGCCGTGTTAGGCTGTATCCGCAAAAAGAACTGGAGTACTTGTGTGCCACAAGTACTCCTGTTCTTTTTGTAGAAAGAAAGAGGTGTAACAAAATACATATGGCTAACTCTGTCCCTCCTTAGTCTTGACTTATGTGAAACTTCTAGTCAATAGACATTTTGTCTGGCTGAAGAAGGACTGGGGGCCTGATCCTTTGGTCTTTCTGCCTGAAAATCTACTGTGGGAGTTAAACATGCAGATAAACTGTAGGATTGGATCCCCTGTAAGGACTTCAGGATTTGGACTATAGAAAGGTGGGGAGAGGGGCAGAATAAAAGACAGAATGACATGGATGAAATGTACATAGGAAGCAAGGTCGAAATTAATAGAAGGGGAGATAAGGGGTGTATGGAAAACAAGGTAAGCAGGGAGAAGGATTGAAAGGAAATCTTATGCTAAATGTTAGCAATGAAATCTAAAACTATGCACATATTGGGGATCATTACACCCTTGATATTCAACCCTTGATGTTTGTCACTCTGGTCTGTGAACCCTTCAAGCAAATCAGGAGCTGACTCCAAATACAAGTGAAACTCAGTGGTTCTAAATAAGTTTTGTATTGATCTTTCAAATTTGTTTAAATATGAAATTCGAAACAAACTTTAGGGAGGGGTGTGTGCCTACAAAAACTGGAACCTCAGAGAAAATGTGTGCTTGAGCCCCTGCGAAGTGCAACTGCCAAGTGGTGCATCGTGTGTCTGTTTATACAGATCCAGCTTGCCATTAGCCATCATTATTACAAAAGGTGAACATTAAACTGATCTTGAAAGTATACTTCGTGAAATGCAGTATTACAGTGTCATCTAAAATGCACTGAGAGAATACTTAATTGTGTTGGTAGGCACTCATTCCAATGTGTCTGCTATATTGATGAGTGGTTTTGAATATTACTGTGATGAATTTCCTAGCATACATTCTGACCTGCACAGTAATGTTAATTACCTGTGAAATAACAGTGACACTTTGTATCATTTTTGTTCACCTGTGGGTTTGTTTGATTTTGTTGATAAAGCAAATATTCATTTTTCTTCACTGATCCTACTGAAAATCCTGTATTCATGTGAGTAGCACCATTGGCTTCAGTGTGGGCAGGATTGGAGACACTGATGTCCATGGAGCTACTTGCATGAGTAAAGTGAGCAGGATTTAGCTTGTCATCTGCATGTTGGTTTAAGATACACTTCCATCCTCCACAGCCAACTACCAAAGGATTATAATAGTTAGAGAAAGAGAAGTCCTATTAGTCTAGTGATGGATTCAATTGCAAAAGATTTCAAAAATCCCAATATTTTGTAGAGTTCCGATCCAGAGATTTGGTTTAGCCAGTTATAAAAGCAGGAATCATTGCAAAAGTCAGGTCTGGATGCCGAATTCCCCCTTCTACCAAATATCAAGAATGCTTGGTTCTGAAGGGTTTTTTCGGGGCCCATTCTGTATTAGACCGTTGAGTTTACCCCCTCCTCTGGGCAGGATATGGCCTCCAGAGAAGACATTTCAGACATAAAATTGCTACTAAGGTTTGATGTTAGCTGAAAGACTGAGAATAAATTATCTCCCTGGTTGGTTTTTGTCACTAAAGTATCACCCACTGGTGTCCAAGTGAGGAAGTAGGTGGAGTTTCTGCCTTTGGACTGATACACTTTTATTTTAGCCACTGTTTCTGTGATACAAAGAAAGCAGGAGGAGAAAGGCAGGTCCTTTTCCTTCCTTCACCTGTATTTTAGCTTAGAGGCAGCTCTTTCTGTCTTCTCCTCTGAGCAGGGTTAGATGACATGATGGGAAAAATTCTGGTGCCTTTTCTACACTACGGCACCTGCTGTTGCTCAGTGCAGCTGCAGTCATAGCAGGCAACCTGCAAGACCAGGAAGGAATTCTATTGTGTGGCAGTTTGCTGCTTCATTCCCCCATCTTACCTACCCAAAATAGTTTGGATGGTTAGGCCATGGAGACGAGGGACTGGAATCTATCCTCATTTATAGCTGGGGTTGCCCAGATGTAACAGAGGACAGAATTTTGCCCTGCTAGGCCTCACTCTGCCATATAGATGTGGAGAATACTGATTAACTTTGCAGCAAATTCTCTCACTCTTGATAAATTATTAACAATTCCCCCGTCTCCTTTCCTTTTGTTTCTTTCCAGTACAGACACAGCCTCTCTCTGTCCCCTGCCCCAATGAATGTCTGCACTAGGGCCAAGGCTTGGAGTGATTTACCTGAAGAGTGACACCATTTGGAAACCACTGTAAGTAAATTTTATGTCCTACAAAAGACTTCTTGTTTCAGCAGAAAGGAAACAAAAACAAAAACAAAAAACACCCAAAAACCTTCAACACCTGGCCATTGCTGGTGAACACGAGCTAAATTTTACATTACACATTTACCTGGGAAGTAAGTGGTAAAAAACATACCAGTAAAAAAGTTGGTAAGTATTGGCCTCATGTTGTAGTTCAGCAGTGGTTTGACCTCTTGCATCTTCTAGTTGTGCACTGCTCTGGTAGGAGCCCCCTGCCTATTACTCAAGTTTAATGTGGTGTCTTCATGTCTCTCAGTGGAGTTTTGCCCTGTTTTTTATTATATTTCTTTGTCTTTTGTAGAGCTACTAGTCTTATGCGATCAGTGCATATTATTTCTTGTTGCAGTTCCATGCAGTGCAGTTTAGTTTCCCTGCAGCTCATTAAAGTTTTGAGCTGCTCTTGTCAAGTCTCAGTGATTCTTGTAGTTCTGTATAATTCAGGTTGGATCTCTGTGTGTCACTGTAGTTTTGCAGAAGCTTGGTTGGACTATGTGCTTCTCAGTGAAGCTTCCTGATGTTCTCAGTGGGTTTTCTGCTTCTTGTAGTTTCACAGTGTTCTGAAATGATCTCTTACCTGCTGCCCTGGAGGGCATAATCTTATAGTTTTAAACTGTAATGGGCAGAGCTCTGTTCATCTTAATATAGTTTTTTTTTTTTACTGTTCTAGTGAAATTGACTTGATTCTCACTTGTAGCTTCCTGCTTCAATGCACAGGTTTTTGTGCCTCACATGATAGTTTTATCCTGCTCGGGTTGGATCCCAGTGCCATTCTGATCAAGCCTCCCTACCTCCCATCCCAGTTTTGTGTTCTGTTCAGATTTCTCTGTCTCTTGTAACTTTTTATGGTGCTGCTTTCAGAATTCTGTGTATCTTTCCATCTTAGTTTTGTGGTCAGGTATCTGGTCAGACTTCTGTGCTTCTCTCGGGGTTGGTTGGTTGGTTTGTTTTTAACTGAACGTACTCATATCTCTGTCTTCCATAATCAGTTTCTAACCACACATCACATATTGTCAATGTCACATCTGAGAGAGGGTCAGGACTCACAGTGAGAAGCACTGATATCAGGAGTGGCATGAGTATCATACATGCAGGCGGGAGATGAATGTGTAGTAAAACACTCAAAAATATTGCTTAAAAATTCTGAAGAATAGCTTGTTCTCTCTTACATTTTTAAAACAGGAAAGGCCAGATGCCTTGATTTATATATATACTGTGTGCACTAACTATGTTAAAGCCAAATTATGACTCAAAAAGCCAGTGGAATGCTTGCTTGGATACTACAGATGCTGCTCTCAGGGGGCAGTGGCTGGAGGGAGACATTATGCCTCTGTTAGGCATAATACTTGGAATGTGGAGGGCGGAAACTCAGTCAGTAGCAGTCTTTGTTACATCATTAGCAATCCCCTGGCATTGTCCTCCAAGCACTAGCTGGTATTCCAGGGAGCAGGGCTTGACCATGACCCAGCCCATCCAGACATACTCCTTCTAGCAGTGCTAACATATCCTTGACTATGTGGAGGGTCACCTGGAGCCATGTGCCCCCCCCCCCCTCAGATTTCTGCTAGGGTTTATTTGCCCTGCCCTGAACCCCGCTGCATACCACCAAAACCTTTAAATTGTGCCGCCCCCCCCAACTATCAACAGTTATGTGGCATCTCTGCTTGACCCCTTGTGCTTAGGGAGTGCAAATGGTCTTATTATGACTACCTCCTTTACAGATGCACTAGGGAAGGCAGGGCTCATTCTAACCTTTTTGCCACCTCCCGTTCCCAGTGCATTCACACAGGAGCAATCATAATTTGACCATTAAGTAATAATTCAGTTTTGTATTTCTCACTGAAAACCTTTACTCTACAGAATGGGACAGGTACCTGCTCTGTGTTTTCTCTGCTGCCATAGCACCCCAGCCCTTCCCGCAAATAAGTCCCTTGTCTAGAGGCTAGAGAGTTCAGCCTCCACCTTTACCAGCTCACCACCTCCCCATGCTAACAGATGCTGATCTGAAGGGCCCTAGGCATCTTGGTTACCTTTGGGCTCACCTATACCTTGCTCAATTTAGCTGTTTGATAGTGTGTTGTGCTCTGTGATGGGGCTTAAGGAAGTAACTAATAGAAACTCATAAAAAAACCACTCAGCTGCCCTGTCTCATACATTAATCCCAGATCATGCCGGAGTGAAGAGTAACCAGGAGAAATTGAATCCTTTTAATAACCTACATCAGTTGAAATGGGCTTGACATGCTTCTAAAAGTAGAGAACCTCAGACACAGTGCATTTGGGTCCATTTCCAGAACTGGGATTCGGGCTGATGTCTGTTTCAAAGGGCCTCAAATGTTCGCTAGCTGACATGTGGGAAATGCTAGCAGCTGAGCAAACTAAATTGCCTGTCTTTGAGGGAGACCAGACTGAGAGGTTTGCTTGTTGTGACATGTTAATACATCTGGGGGAAATTAATCCCAAACACAGATAATTGTTGTGAGGGAGAAACCTGGGGAGACAACATTTGAAAGAGACTGAGGAGGATTGCTGGACAGCAAATTGCGTGTGAATTTGCAAGGCAATATGGTAGCAAGCAAAGTAAGTACAATTTTGGGTTTGAGAGGCATCCTGAAGCAAGGAGATAGGCCTCCCTACCTGTATAGCTCTGAGTCTACCATACCCAGTCAGTTCTGATCCATTCTGCCTTTAAAATAGACAGACAAAAAAAATCTGTGCTACTCTACATTCAGTGCCTAACATCATGTTGAAGCTGCATTATTGTGAGATGTCAGGCTTCTAGACCTTTATGAAAGAATGCTGCAGTGCTTATATACATAAAAGGGGGAATACTTCGTTACCAAAAAGATATTGGCACTTCGGAGGGATGAGAGGCTGGAGGGACTGATTTACAAGAAAAGTTTGAAAGACCTACTAAATAAGTGCAGTTTGGTTAAGTGATGACTAATACATGGTGGGGACTTGATAACAGTCTATGGATATTTGAAGAGTATACAGCCAAGAAAGAAGGGGAAATATTTTAAGTGGTGAATATCATGAAACACTTCCCAAGAGATGTATCTGGCTGTGGAACAGTCTTCCAAAGGAATTGGGTAGAAGCCTTATTACAAGGGCCATTGAAAACTAGACTGAATGAAACCATACTAAATGAACTCTAAGGAACAATCCTGCATTGGCTAGTTGAGTAAGATAAATGAGTCTTCACCATGTTTAACTTCTAGGATTCTATACATCAGGGCTATCTACCATAGTGTCCTTTTCTCCCAGTGTCTTGGCCCTGTTTTCCTTATAATGAGGGTAAAGATGATGATGATGGTGGTGCCTTGAGTGTTTTCAGATTCAGCTTCAATGACTGGAAGAGCTAATATAATAAACCACAACCACATACAGAGAAAGAGCATGGTCCTCCCTGGGGATCAAACCTGGTACCACCCACACCTGGGGCCTGATTCATAGCTTTATGAAACTGAGTAACTGTTAGCTGGGAGTAAATAGGCTGTTACTAGAAGGAAACATGATCACATGTACTGAAGTAGTGCATTACACTGACACCCACAGGTGAAATTATGATGTGCTACTGCCAAGCACTGTAGCCAGCTCAGAGTAAGAATCTGGGAAGATGTACAAACTGCAATGACGTCGGAATACTCTACAGTCACTTAGAGAAGCTGCCCCTCCCACCAAACCCCAGCCATTGTTGCCTCCTTCTCCCATTGTTTATGCACCAGCCAAATCCAGCTCTTCCATTTCTTTTGACACAGCCAACCAGTGGTCACATTCTGAAGCTACTGACTGAGGTGAGACAGTGCTCCAATTTACCTCCTGGAATAAGGAGATAAGAACACGTTGTGTAATAAACGGTTCAGGATTTGCTGCCTGTCCTTAGCACTGACTATCGGAGTCTAAGCTTGGGGATTGGAGAAATGAGGAGAGGACTGTTCATAAGGCCTCAGTGCCTGCGCTCCTACATAGGTAGTTTCTGATCAAAGTGAGTGCCGAGCCTTTTTTCTAATAAGTTTTCTCTAAATTCTAAGTTGGCTTTGATGTTTCCCTTACTTGAACTTCCCTCCTCCTGCTGCTTCCCGCTCATATGTTTGTTACTCAGATACAGGGAAAGCTCTCTAATCAGTAAGAAAGGAGAGGAGTAATGTTGTGAACACTTATTTCCCTGGTGCTAAACAGCATCATTGCCTCCTTTCCCTTTCCACTGAGTACATGTAGTAGGGCCACAGCATTCTGATTTGGAATGGTTTCTGTTGTGAGGGCCTCCTGATAGTATACTGTCTCCTTTGAGAGCAACGGTAGCAAATAAACCCATTCAGAGAGGAAAGAGATTAGAGATGGGAGTAGAGGATGCTATCCATAATGTCACTGGGGCCACAGCCTATAGTGGACTACATCCACCCTGACTAAATTGGCCTTCAACATTGGTTCTCCACTTGTAAGGTAACTCCCTTCTCTTCATGTGCCAATATATATTTATGCCTGTATCTGTAATTTTCACTCCATGCATCTGAAGAAATGGGTTTTTTACCCACGAAAGCTTATGCACAAATATATCTGTTAGTCTTTAAGGTGCCACCGGACTCCTCGTTGTTTTTTTAGCCTATAGTTAAAACATTTTCTAACCTGCCTCTGTACTTGATTCTGAGTGCTTGTGATGCAAGAGAAGTAGAAATTATTTAGCAACATGGCACTCAGGCTATTTCTTCACTGCAGAATTAACTCAAGTTATCTACACTTGAGTTAACTCCTCTCAAGTTAGCCTAGTCTGAGTGAGAGCAGCCACACTGCAAACTAATACTTGAGCTGCACAGAGTGGTTGGATTAGCAGCACAGAGTGCTAGTGTTAGCAGCTGATGAATTGTGCTAATATGAGCTGTTGCCTATACTCCATGACGGGTCAGCCAACTCGAGTTAAAACCATCAACACACTCGAGTGCAGGATTTGTGTGTGAGGATGGGACATGAGTTAGGGGCAACACTTGAGTTGTAGCTCGGGTTAACTGCAGTGAAGACAAACCCTTAGATGTTGTAAATCTGTTACCAAGGATGGGGATGTTCGTTACGCCATATGTCCAGCCACTCCAACCACCTCGGCCAGGGCCGGCTCCAGGCACCAGCTTCTCAAGCAAGTGCTTGGGGCGGCCGTTCCGGACAGGGGCGGCAGTTCCAGGTATTCGGCGGCAATTCGGCGGACGGTCCCTCACTCCACCTGGGAGTGAAGGACCTCCCGCCGAATTGCCGCCGCAGATCGCGATCGCGGCTTTTTTTTTTTTTTTTTTGGTTTTGGCTGCTTGGGGCGGCCAAAACCCTGGAGCCGGCCCTGACCCCGGCCCCCCAGATCCACTGCTGGCTGAACAAGAACTGGCATTGCCTGAAAGCTTCACAACTAACAATGCTGTGAAAGAGGGGTGTGTGTGTGTGTGTACATGTGCAGAGGGAGGAAGGTACTGGGAATGAGCGGAAGGGGGGCTATTTCTCTACAGGCCCTAGGAAATGTGACAAGAGTTAGCATGTGATAATGTTTGAAGTGCTCTCATGGACAAAAGGTATACTTTCTTTACTCAAGTTTCTAAAATACATTGCTGTGTGGCAATAGATTGTGTGGCTAGAGGTAGATTTTAGCAGCAGAATTGGTATCCAGATTTCAAGCATGCTGGAATTGGGGTGGGGGGGACTGAGATGCTTAATTTATTTTTCAGACCTTTCTCTGTATGAAGTATATTTACAATATTTCAAAACTGTCTGATTTTCATGCAATTTACAGTGATGCAGTTCTAGCCTCAGTTATTCTAATACAAATTTGAGTAACTCAACTGAAGCTAATAGAGTTACTTCAGATTTACTCTGGTGTAAGTAAGATCAGAATTTGGTGCATATTTTCAACATATTTGTAATATATGTTGTTCCCTACCATACAGTGTATGGGACGGAGTATTCTCCACTGCACTAAACCTCTGATTTTGGGAAGGGTGGCTCCCCCAACATAAAATACACTAAAGTTGCCAGCATCACTGGGGTTAACAACAAATCTAACTCAGCCTCGATTCACCTAAAACTCCCATCTAAAACCCTGGACCAGCCTCTTTGGAAACAGAAACATGAGCAGTGGGAAGACCAAAATGTTTTTGTGCTTTTCATCCAATTTGGGAGGTTCAAGCAGAACTGACCAGCACAAGACAGGTGCCTGCAGCCATGTAGTTTTGACCACTGAACCCGGTCACTCGGGTATGAGGAAACCCAGGGTGGTTGGCCTGGATTCTCCATGCCTGTGTGTGTGTGTGTGTGTGTGTGTGTACACACACCCAGTTTTGCTTTGTGTTTCTTCATGCAGTGTCTGCCTTTTCTTTATTTATTTTTCTTTTTCACATTTTCCTTCCTTTTTCTATTGTTTTACTTTGGGTTTGGGTGCTCAGCTTGGTTTTATTGGGGGGGTGTGGGCTGAGGGCAGGCCTGTTTAACTTTTTTCACTTGAGCTTTCATTTTCCGGCTGAGGAGACACTTCATTGGAGTGTGTAATTTTAACACTTACGGCAAAGAATTTAAAAAAAAAAAAAAAGGAGCTTGGCAGACTTAACCTCTGGCATGGTGACCAGGAGGAAGATTCTAGGGAGGTTTTGTCTCACTACAATGTAGCCTGGAGCCAGGTGGTGCTCTGCTGCCCTCTGAAGGTGACCAGCTAGTACTGGCAGCCACCAAGGTTTGACAAGAGCTTCCACATGCTATGCCCTCAGATATGCCAGGCTTATATAATTCTTTTATATAACCGGAGACAATGTTCTCGATTAATGGCAAAGTGGCTTTGCTCTCTGTTGCGTGATAGATGCTCTTTCTTTCTTGTGTGTATCTCTTTCTCTTTTTTCTTTTTTTTTTTTTCTTTTTTTTTTTTGTTTCTTATAATAGGATACCAAAAAAAAGTTTAAAAAAAAAATAAAAAAAAAAAAAAAAAGATAGGCAAGAGGCAGGACTATTTCTCAAAGATATGATTTTGCTGTCTTAATGAGCCTGTATCTTTGCAGGACACGTTGAGTAAGGATTTTGGTGGTGGAGATATAGGAGAAAACTGGTTGTGTTGTTTATTTGCATTTACCAGGGCAATAGGCACTTCAGAAGGGGCTGCTGACATAGCAACCATTCCAGCCATTTAAGGAATTACAGTGATGAATAGTCCGGTGCTCTGTTTGTAGAATGGTTGCTGTGATGTGGGGAAACTGGATAAAACAACAGGAGAACCCTCAGAGCTTCTGTAACACAAATGGAGGGCTCCCTGGGTGAAAAATAATGCATAGCCGTTGTTGTAGAGAAAACATTTTAAGAAGGTTGCTTTCTTCAACAGTTATTTGTGTTTTAAGTGGGCATCATTCTAGGCCAAAGAAGAGCTTTTGAAATCAGGTTTCATTAGGTTGTACCTATGAACAGCAGTAAGTGACACATCCTGCCATCATGGCAGGTAGTACCTGAATTGCTATGTTTACCCCCCGTAACTTTCTGCTCACTTCCATGAGCACTGCACCTGCCTGGATCCAGACATACAGTAGGGCAGCCAGTCTGCTGGCCAAAAGTTACAAGTCATTGCTTCTCCAAGACAATGATTTTGCAAACTAAACACTGCAATTAGAGCTCCAGCTGTAACTTACTTCTATAAAGAGGGAGGTAGCATTTTCTAGAATTTAAAGCACAGAGCTCTGGGCTTTTTTCCTTTCTATGACAGACTTGCTGTATGCCCTTGGGCAAGTCACTTTCCCTCTTCACGCCTCAGTTTTCCCACCTGTAAAATTAGGATAATAATGCTTACCCGCCTCACGTGGGATTTCTGAGGCTTCATTCTGGATGTTTCCAAAGTGCTTTGAGGTCCTGGATGGAGTGCACTAAAGAAGTACAAATATTAGACTTAGTAATTAAAGGCTCTCTTCTTTTAAGGGACGTAGAGGAAGCCAGCATGCAGTGTGGCTATTGCTGGTTGTGTAAGGCTCTAAATCTTATTGCTTCACCTGTATAAATGACCTCTGCCTCTCTAAATTACCCCCTTTCACCATCCTTGCCCCCTGCACCCACAATCTTCTTCACAAAGTACCAGCTTATACTTTCACACTTCTTGAACTGGAAACATCAGTGTTTATTTGTTTTCCAGATACATTTGCTATATATTTCTGTATAACTTTCAATTCAGAGTGATGCAGCCTTGATTAATATTTGTCACATGGAGCTCAGACTGTGTAAAGAACTCAGACAGGTTTTAATTTATATGTAGTCAGTAGGGGCAGAATGGGGAGCTTCTGACTTGGTCTCTGTGCTTTAATGTGGTCTCAGGGCCATTGCATCAGAGTGAAAACAAGGAGCAGCTTGTTTCCAAACAAGAGGCATGGAGTCCTCCCTGCTACCTCCCTTTAAGGAAAAAAAAAAAGCAAGTTATCTTTAACAGATTCTAAAAATGCCTTTACCCAAATACGCAGTTAGTCCCTTCAAAGGTTTCTTTGTTTATTTTCAGGAAGAAACCCAAGACAGCTGAAAACCAGAAGGCGTCTGAGGAGAATGAGATTACTCAGACGGGTGCATGCAGCGCCAAGCCAGGCCTTCCCTGCCTGAACCTTGAAGCTGTTCCGCCTCTGAGCCCAGCCCTCACCCACTCATCACAGTCACCAACAAACCTGCCCGCACACACAGGGTCATCTGATTGTGAGTACACCAATGTACTGACGAGTTGCTGGGAGCTGGTGAAATACCATTCCACACCGTGGACCAGCTTTCCCAGCCTGATGCATGTTGTTTCCATAATGTCATCAGCAAGACCTCATCAGCCTTTCCCTCCTCCTTTTTTTGGTCCATTTATCTTCAGAATATTTTCCAGGAAGTTTTCTGTGATAAAGTCGTGATTATTCAGTCAGCCTAAGAAAGCTGAGAGAGTTGCACAGATCAGGTATGCAGGGCTGGCCCTAATTTCTGTGAAATAATATGTGCATGGCTCCCCACCAGCTCCCTCCCTCCCTAGGACTGGGGTTCCTCATCTTCATGTAGCTGTGTTTCTCCTCATCCCCGCTTGTCTTCTGACTGCAACCCCAACCCCAACCCAGGCCACAATGGAGGACAGCAATTAGGGAATGCAAATCTCTAGCAGACCCCGGGATGCAACAGGGCTTCAGGCAAAGAATCCCCGTGATGCTCTGTGAGGTGGATTGGGTTTAGCATGGTGGGGACCTGGAGGACTCAAGGCCCAGTGCAACCAGATAGGCCAGACGCCTTTGCTGTTGATATGTTTTCAGTGTATTAACTCAAAGATGAGTCAGCACAGATTTCCTGTCCTTTTTAAAATGTTCTTTTCCGTTTCATCCAGGACACCAAAAAAAAAAAAAAAAACCCCCAACCCCAAAATAAGGAAATGAGCAATTGGAACTCGATTTTGAAAAGACAGAAATACATAGCAGATCTTCAATATACTGAAATTTTACAACCATCCCTTCATTGGGTTATGTCAGCTCTCACGTTCACCATTTTTTAAGGGTGGTAGTTTACCTCTTTTGGAGTGGTTTTAAGATATTGTTAAAATGTACAAGGTGGGGGGAAGTAAGACGAGGAAGCCAGCTTCCAAGAACTCAGAAGCCAGCTAAACTTTGCGGAGGTCAATAAAAAGAAAATCTGGGCATGGCAATAAAAATACCAGGTAAAAAGTAAGATATTTTCTTTTTTTTTACTTAAACGACCTGCCTGAGGGCCAATCTTGGAAGCAACCAAGTTATTGGGATAGTTGCTATCCTAATCACTTCAGCGGCAATTCACTCCTGCCACCTTCTGACTTTATTCGTTATGAGCCTCTTCTTGAGATCACAGTTTTAATAGAACCAATAAACAGCATCAGGAGGCTTCCCTAAAGCTGGCCCAGTGACCTGGTAAAGAGAAAGAAGCATGAGACAATGGAAAAGGAAGCACCATACAATTTGGTGCAAAGGAAAATTCTCATCAAATTTGAGATGCCTGTCACTGGCTAAGACTGGGATTTGGGTTTGTTTTGTAAGGTAGTTGAAGCATTAGATCAGTGTACCAGGTATTTGAATCTATTACCGCAGATTACATGAGTCCTTATTTATTTTGGACTCTCTACATGGTTCAGCTTAAGAGCAATTTCCCGAATATAGGTAGCAAATACACCAAGACAGCCAGCTGCACCTCATCTTTAAAAGACAAAGACAAAGAAAGTTTAGGCAGTAGTTTGAATGCTAACGGTGCTGAGGCAAGCAGTTAACAAAAAGTCTGGGCAAAGAGATGTATTATACAATGCTCTCTTAAGGGCCCCATCCTGTGTGGTGAGTGCCTCCTGTGTGGTGCTGTGTGCCATCAACCCCCACTGAAGTCACATTGACTCGGCCCCGTGTAGGATTGGGTCTTAAATGTTACTATTCTTGGGCTTAGACATATTACCAGTGAGAGGAAATTCCTGAAGCAAGGACTTTCAATCTAGAATGCATTGCTTCAAGCTCCCATTGCTTTCCCTGCTGGGAGAGATTAGCTTAAGCATTCCAGGCAAATGCAGGTGGAATGGCAGTTCAGAAGGAGAGGTGGTTTCTAGATAGCTGAGTCCTAGTTCGTGTAGGGCTTTGCAGATAGCAACCAGTACCTTGAATTCCCTTGGAGTTATACCAGACGTTAGAGTTCTAAATACCTCATGGTGTACATGCGGATGTTGGTGTGAAGAGTTGTGAAATTTGAAGAGTTTGGGTGTAAATTGCAGACACAGGCTAAGAGTCTCCACTGAAAATCTGGCCCTATATGTTCAGAAATAGTTACAAGGAAGCAATGAGGCTATTGTCAGATGGTGCACAGATTCCACACACTTTCCTAATCACCAAAAGAGCAAATGGTAACGGTTAGTAGGGGCCAAAACCTAAGGCCATACTCCACTTTCTACTTGGACAAAACTCCCCTTGACTGCGATGCGTGTATAGTGAATAAGGACTTCAGAACATGGCCCCATGTGAATAGGCTAGGCTTTCAAGAGTGTAGATAACACAGGAGCTGTTCAAACATCAGTGACTATATAGACCTATGTTTTGGGAGTGCCAAAAGATAAGAACATTCCGGCAGAAAATTTCAACAGATGCTTAAGGATATAATAAAAATAAAGCTTCATTCAATCTTAGCAGATGTGTCTAAACTCATAGGAATCCCACAGGAATGGTGCAGCTGAATCTCTTTGTGTCTATTGATAGTTAAAAGTGTTATTCTTAGACATTGAAAGGGCAAAGACGGCCCATCTATGAAGGAATTTGTTCCAGATAAGGGAAAGACAACACCTTAGCAAAGAGTTTCCATGGGACTGAGGAGCAGGTTGGATGATTATTGAAAAAAATGGGTGGTATGGGGTTTATGATTTAAGAGGACACAGAAAAGGGGGCTGGCCTGAAGGTAAATTGTCACAGTGAACGTAAGTCCAAGCAGGAAAGTAAGACAAGATAAAGAAGAAACACGGAACAGCAGTAGTAAGTGGAGGGGATGAAGGGATGCAGAGGTCATTTATGTTTAATTGGGGGCCAAGACAGTTCTTGCATATAGAAAGGAATGCACTTTTTAATCTCTGGCGATGGGCCTGAACCACAACCCTCTGTCCGTAAACCCCCACATTTCGTGCCTGTCCAGATCCAGACGTGGGCTTCACCGCATTGCAGACCAGGACAGAAGCATTGAGCCAGATTCTATTTGCATTTTTCTGTTAGTAAAATCTGACTTTCTTATTTTGATGGCTGTTTGCCTTTTAAACTTTAAGGGAAAGGAAGAGAGAGGGAGGCAAATACCCTTCGGGATTCCTAAACTCCACAGGGCACTGAGGTAGGGGGGAAGGAAACTCAGGATGATATTTTTCCTGAGCAATCAATAAGGGTCTATACACCTTCCTTGTGACTCAGTGGGGCTGTTTTGCCTAGTGCTAGTGTTGGGTTCTGTGAAGTTGCAGATTAGTGGAATTTTGTCATTTCCAGTTTTTATGTTTTAATTTTTATATGTCCCCTCTCTGAGGTTCTGTAGTAGGAACAAGGTGGATGTGTATCCTCCTGTCTCCTTCTCCTGGGCTTCACTGCTCAACCCTCCTATGGACTGCACTGGGACCTTAGAGCTCAGCACAGCACAGGGGAGATGCTGGGACACATGGTTAGAATGCACCTCAGGAGGGCCCCTGTCCTGTTCCCATTGAACTCCAGGGGAAAACTCCTGTTGACTTCCTTGGGTGCAGGGTCAGACAGCGTGTTCACATTAACAGTTATCTCATCTATATTTTTGTTAAACTGCATGTGATATGGAATGGTATTTCAGTTACATAATCAATGGGTAAATTTTCAAAAGCACTTAAGTGACTTGGGCTCCTAAGTTCCATTGGTGCGTAAGTCAATGGCACTTTGGATTGTAAGTCATTTAGGTGCATTTGAAAACTATATGTAATGACCTTAATTGCTAATTTCCTTTTTAAGTGACATTAATGTTAAGCTGATGAAGTGTTATCAGGTCTCATGATATTTGGTGCTTTTCTTAAAGCCCCAGCTCCTGGAGTGAAATGATTACATGAGAATCTCAGCTTTCCTTTTTTGAAAGAAAAAAAAGAGTTTCTAGCCCCCGTGGTTGCAGAGAAAAGCTTGAAAACGTGTCCCCAGTGTATCCTAAAGGTTCAAAAACCAGAAGGCAAAGAAAAAGGGCCAGGATTGTATTTATATATTTATTTATTTATTTATTACTCCCATGATTTTTGGACACTTGGGATTGGCAGTACTGTGATGCTTTTGTTTGTGAATCATATTACACTCCCCTAGATACGTTATAGCTATCCACTAACATTTCCCAACTATTTTCCTGACTCTAGTCTAAAGTAAAATGTGCTGGTCTCTCTAATTCTCAAGATCACCCATTAGTATCACTCTTTAAAGGTGAGTCACCCTGTAATCCCTCAATTACATACTTGTATTAGTAGCTCAGCAACTTCATTCATAGTTCCTTGATGAATGCCATCCATTACAGTTTAATTTCTTAAAATATTCTATTACCCCCTCCTTTATTTATTTATTTATTTACTTATTTATTTGCTTGTTTGTTTATTTATTTTATAATGTTCTCCTGGAAGGTGCCATCACCTTCATACCCTGAGATCATTTTCCTTGCCCCATCATTCTCCATGCTGAAAACCAATGCTAAAAAATCACATAGATTGTGAAATTGCTGTATCCTCTTTGATTACCCTACCTTTTTTGTGCACCGGTGGCCTACCTAATCCACTAAGTCTCTTGTCTATTTAATCCGTCTGTCCATGCTATCTAAGGTATTTCTTAGGCACCAGTCATTGCCTTGTGACCTTCTTCTTTCTGATGTATTTAAAGAATTTGTTATTACAGTACTTTCTTTATACCTTCAGCTATTTTTCTTAAAATTTCCTCTTCACTTCCTTAATCTCCATGTTACATCTTGCCTGATACAGTTTATGCTCTGTTCTATTAGCATCACTTAGGCATGATTTCCATGTTTGGAAGGAAACTTTTTCAGCCTTAATAAACTCTTGTGCCTTGTTACTTAACCATCCTGGTGTTATTCCACTTCCTTTTTCGGTTGTTGCTGTTGTCCTGGGATATGCATATTGATCCTAATAAAGGATTTTTAAGGCCACCTCCCTGCTGATTTTATGGATTTTAATTTCTTATCTTTTCCTT